GATCCCGCTCTAACTCCCTCTCTCCCTTCGCAGGCCACAGCGACGGACCAGCTGGTTGGGTTCGGCTTGGTCGCCTTCAGCCTCGTCCTGTTTGTTTACTACACCCTCTGGATCATCGTGCTGGTACGGGTCTCCTCTGGACATTATAACACAGTCACTCCACACTCAGGTGTTTCCCTGGCCTGGAGCTGTGTCAGTGCTCCTGGCGGTCCTGGAGCCCTATCGGTGCTCCCGGCAGTCCCGGAGCTGTAGATGCGTTCACTGCTATGTGGGAATCCTCACACTGCTCTCTAGTGTCCAGAGCCTTCCACTGATGGATCCTGGAGGGATCACCACGGAGCAGAGCCATTGTCAGCTGCTCCCGTCTGCAGGGCGGAGAGACAGGGGATTTGCTGTGCTCTGCATCAGCAGTTCTGCCCATCCCGAGCCCCCAGGGCCGTGGGACCCCCTGTGCCAGCCCTGGTAGCCCCACCTCGTTGTCCTCTGAACGCCAAAGCCTTTACTGCCCACCCCCTGCAGCCCCTACAGCGCTGACAGAGCCACGTGTGGGTTGGGGCACCCTGTTTTTAGCCACCTCACACTGATATTTCCATCCTGCTCCCAAAATCTCGAGGTTGCAGGTGCTGGGGACGTACCCTGGTGTTGTGCCCACCTGCTGACCGCCCTCTCTGTCCCTGCAGCCCTTCATCGACAGCAACCATGGGATCCACCAGTACTTCCTGCCCCGGGAATACGCAGTTATCATCCCCGTGGTGGCTGGGCTGCTGCTGGTGCTATTTATAGGTGAGAGTTATTTCTGTTCTAATTAGAAACTTCTAAATTAAGAAGAGAGAAGAGGGTTGCTTGGGGCTTAGCTAATGTGTGACACTCGTGACACTCTGGCTGCTGCCACAGCTTAGCCTGGCACAGGGACTCAGGGGTGTGTTTGTGTGTGACTCTGACTGTTTGAACCTCTGGGCAGTGGAATTTTCTTGCTCTCTCAGCTGAGGCTCTGTTTCTCACTACCAGAAGTGCCTGGAATTACAAGTTTTCTGGCTCAATCTGTTCTCTCTCTCTCTCATGGCAGGTGTTTTTATAATGATCGTGATGTGGAAGAGCAGGAAAGCTGCCAAGAAATCAGACTGAAGGCCCGGCTGAGATGAGGAGAAGGTGCCCACCCTGTGGCATCGTAGCCAGGAAAAGACTTTTCCTGCAGCTCTGGGCAGATGCCTCCTCCAGGGCGCCCAAGCTGCTCCCACGTTCCTTCCAGCAGAGACTAAACCACCTGTAGTTTACAACTTACTGACCAAAGGGAAGCAGGACTCATCCAAAGCTCATCAAGAGAGGGACCAGAGCCCTGCTGAGGGACCTGCTCCACAGCTGGAGCTGCCCTGCCCAGCCTCTGGACACTCCTTCCCCTCTGCTCTGACCCTGCCCAGTAGTTTGTTCCTTCTCGGGTTTTTTAAACGTTTACATACAGTTTGTGGGGGTTTTTGGATTCAAATTTGAGAGGAAAGAAATGAGACTTTGGGCTTGGGAAGGGCAGGTTTATGTTCTCCATTTGCTTCTGGCAGGGCTAATCATGGTGCTGAGGGCTCTTGCCTTTCAGAAGAGGGACTCCCGTGAGGCCGGGTGTGCAGAGGATGCAGGGACAGCACTGCCCTGTGCATCCCCTCCTGCAGTCACCTGGCTGAGAGAGTAGCAAGGAGATGTCCTGGATCACAGGGAATTGTTTGGGTGTAGTTCCCATCACAGCTGTCAGTGCTAGCTGGGTTCCTGCCCTGGACAAGGCTCCATGTGGGGATGGGGGTGAGCAGGCAGGTATGGTGACACCGTCCTTCCTCTGTGAGATTTCCTCCCCTGGCAGCTCCCCTGGACCACAGTGAGCAGGATCACCCTCAATAAAGGTCTGCAAGGTCTTAGTCCCTGTCCTCTGCCCGTGCCAAGGGATACCACAGGATGGGTTCAACTGCATGGCCCTGGCAGTGCCCGACACCCTGCTGGTAAGGCCCTGCTGGTGGGGTCAGGCAGGGAAACACCAGAGAGAAGCTGACCCAGGCCAGGCCAGGTGTACCCAGCCTTGTGCTGGGAGCAGGTTTGGGGTGCTCTGACCCTTCTTGCATGTACAGAAATTCCTATTTCTGGAGAGCAGCATATCCTGTCTCCCATCCTGCCAGGGGGTGATGCCGGTGGCTGGGGTGCCACAGGTCTTGGGCTGAACCTGGCTGCAGGAGTCACTGGGTGGTTCACAGGTGAGGCTCTGGCTGGAGGTTTGTTTCCAGCTCTTGCAGAGGCTACCTGGCTGTGCCAGGCTGTTGCTCTTGCCTCCCTGAGGCTGAATCCTCATCCCTTCATTCTCCTTTGCTGCTCCTCCTGATGAGGAACCCCTCATTGTCCTTCCCAGCCCCTCACTCATTGGCAGGGGGGGCTTGGGTGGGTTTGGGCTGGGGCAGGGGGAGGCAAAAGGGGGAAGAATTCAGTGGTGACTGAAGAGCTCCACATGTCTCCTCCCCCTGGCACTGCTTCCTGTGCAGAAGCCCTGTGGTGTCCCTGTCAGTGTCCTTTCTTCTTCCCAGTCCAGGCCTGTGCAGGACAGAGTCAGGAGCAGTTTCAAGGTTACATCTCACGTTTCTTTATCAGCAGTGGGAGAAATTAAAGCCCAGTGTCCCATCCTGGGCTGGCTGCAGCTCACTCTGGGGACACATCTCTTGGGTACTGTGTGGTTTGACTGTGGTAAGAGGGGCTGTAGGTGACAGGGCCATCAGATGGGGCCCGGGGCACCGAGGGGTCACCTGCCTCGGCCCCGCTCCTGAGCTATTCCGGATCCTTGTGCTCCCTGGGCTCACCAGG